TTGTCTGTAAAAACAGTCTATTTTTGTTTTTACATGGGCATGCACTAAATATTTAGTAAGACCTGCTCTGTGGAGGTACATACGAGGCTTGGTTTAAAAGCTGAAAAGACCAGAGTGCCTACAGGTAAGGAAACTCAGTTTAATGGGAGAAGCCAACATAGTTGTTCCATCATATAAAAAAAGGCTGTGGTAGAGGTATGGTTGAGATCTGACCTCTACATTTAAATCCACCTTGTTTACTTCACTGTATATAACTCTTCCTCAGAGAAATATCATATTTCATACACCACAGATTTCCTTAATTCCACTGCCTGCAAGGTGAATTTTCAACCGTAATTGCTAGAAATTGTCTTTATTGTTGTACTAACTTTCTAAAATAGAAATCACAAATTAATATGAAAAAAGACTACTTTTTCTGGTGCTCAAAACTAATGACCTCAAGTGGCAATTAAAAAAAAAACCTATTAAAGCACTTTTCAAGAGTGTAAGATCAATGATAGCTGTGGTTTACATCCTATGAAAATGAGTGGCAGATCCAGTGATGCCTTCTAGAAATATAATTTTTACTTGGTATTATTTAAAAAAAACAAAACCTAGGAGACATCATTCCTCCCTCTATAAGATGCAGTGTTAACCAAATGGTTTAAATACCATGCTCAATTATCTTCTTTTACTTTCTGAGGATCTGATTTGAAACAAAGCACATAGCAGAAATAAAAGAGAAAAAAATAGCTCAATGGTAATTAAGAGTATAGAATTAGAACTGGTGCTAGGATATATGACTCAACCTGTAGGATTGCAGAAAATCTCCTTGAAACATAAGCTCCATGGCTTCACCTGTTAGAGGAATCCTATCTTCCCTTTGCCCCCTCAGAGATGTAATGAAGAAATCCTCATTTTCAGTTGTTAACTAGCAAGAGAACCAGGATATATTTCCACAGAAGGTAGATTTTACATTGAATTTAGAAGATGGGAGTTTATATAATTTCATATAATTAAAACTTAAATATGTCCCAGGATTCTTTTTTAAGATTTTATTCATTTATTCATGAAAGACACAGAGAGAAAGAGAGAGAGAGAGAGAGACAGGCAGAGGGAGAAGCAGGCTCCATGCAAGGGGGCCGACCTGGGACTGGATCCTGGGTCTCCAGGATCACACCCTGGGCCAAAGGTGGCACTAAACCGCTGAGCCACTTGGGCTGCCCTGCCCCAGAATTTTAAAAGTAGATATGGCAACTCTTTCTTGGCTACCTTCCCATCCTTGTCTCACTTCTCTACTCCCCTATTCTAGGGTTGTGGCAGTCAAGGGATCAGTGAATCTTCACAAGAGATAGAACACCTTAGCTAGGTCTTCAAGAATGAAGAGTTTTTCTGGGTCTGGGATCAGAGAGAGGATGATTCTAGACAGAAATAGCATCTTGAATGCAATAGCATCATGAACTGGGATGGGCTGTGAGATGACCCCAAGATTCTAATCATGGTGAACAAATGAACAAGAAAAGGAGCAAGTGCTATGAAAGTAAGGATATAATGAGTTTAGTTTGGAGCTTGTTGGGTTTTAAGTGTATGTGGGTATTGAGTGGGAATTTCCAGGCAACAGTTGAATATGTAATATCAATCCAAAACTTTCAAGAGGACTGGTAAGTAGAGATGCAGATCTTGGAGTCACTTGTGAGTGATGGTCCAACCAGTGGAGATGGTTGAGATTTAATTCAAGAGGACTAGATAATGGAGGATGGCACCAACAGTAGCTAGGAGTTCTGTGGTGGTACAACTAATGCTACCATTTGTCTACTTTATGGATTAAATGGGCTATTACCAGTTGGCCCAATATACACTCCACCATTTATAAAACTATGTAAATGTGCAGAGGGAGTTCAAATAACTCACAAAGTACTTGGAGCCACAAAGTGTACATTGGAATTGGGGTGTATTTCTTTTTACTTATCCTAAATATATAATTTATATCATTTTAGCCTCTGGCTCCAGTGTACTGGAACTTGGAAATGGATTCCAAAAGTAACATGCCTGCACACTGTGTTTTTACTCGTTGAGAATATCTTAAGCCATACTTTATACTTCAAGTCTACTTGATTTATTTGTAACTAAAGTATGATGACATCCCACTTTTGCCATTAAAACAGTTCAACGTTGAGTGACTGTCATGTCTGGCATGATGCTAATTGTTCTTTCTTCCCCTCTGCCACTGTGATTGGCACCAGAGAAGAATTGTGGGTGTGGTGAGTTTTTAACTAAAGTAGGACCTTTTCAGGAAATAATATTGGTGTTAAAGGACCTACTGGTTGTGGTGCCAGGACTACTGATGTGGTGAGGCTCCCAAACTTCTTTCTGAGGCCTCAGGCCTCCGTGTGATATTATTATTCTGTAATTCTTTGTCTTGTGAATGCCTGTGAGGTGATTTACTATTTTTCTTCTACCTCAAGTCCATTTGAAAGAGTTAAACTGGGATGCCTGGGTGGCTCAGCCGTTGAGCTGCCTTTGGCTCAGGGCATGATCCCAGAGTCCTGGGATCGAGTCCCTCATAGGGCTCCTGCATGGAGCTTGCTTCTCCCTCTGCTTGTGTCTCTGCCTCTCTCTCTCTCTGTGTGTGTCTCTCATGAATAAATAAATAAAATCTTTTTTTAAAAAAAGTTAAACGCTCTGCTCTTTGGTATGTTTAATACATGTGACTATTATTAGAGACAGAAATATAATTACTATTTGGCATATCCTGACTATTCACAGTGTCCTTGGTTTTATTAGAAGGCACAAAGGAAGGAGCTGCTTCATTCTGTAAGAGCAGCTTTGTGTCCTCCCAAATCTTCATAATAGCAGCTATAATGTTACAGAACAGTGAATGTCTCTCAGGAAGGAACCTCTTTTTAGGACCTAGTCTTGGGGCACCTGGGTGGCTCAGTTGGTTAAAACTTAGTCTTGATGTGGGGCGGGTGGGGGGATTTTTTGTTACATTAAGCACCGGGCTATTGTTACAGTTGGCGGTAAATTGAGGCCAGAAGAGCTGAGCTGGGAGCTCGGGAGGCTGAGCAGAGAGCCAAATACCTGGGGAAGAAGTGGTTCTAGACTCTGTTTCTAACCTTGGATATTGTGTGTAGTCTCCATGGCTTCAGAGCACACTGGTCCAACTTCCAACTACCAGCACCGGCACCAATATTCACTTATCTACTTGCCAGCGGGAAGTGCAGGAGAATTGATTACAGCCCAGGGAGCGGACAGACCTCCGCCACTGATTGGCAGGAGTGGGGAGGAAATCTCTCTCTCGTCCACTGGTCTGGACAGCTGAGGTGTTTGCTTCACAATGGCTTTCCCGACAGGTTTAAGCTGCAGTCACTCTCAGTGGTAGCCGGCCTGACAATATACTCTTTATTGGCCACCTTCTCGTCCTTGTCTCACGTTTCCACTCCCCTACCTGGGCTTGAATCATTGACGGAGTCCCAGCAGGATGAGACGACACAACAGACGGGACACCTGACCCTTAGCATTCGAACGAGGGCGAGGCCTGCAGTCACAAACAGTCAACCCATCCCTGCATGTCTAGAACCAGGGAGAAGGTGGTGAGACGTCCACAGAGGGGCCTCTGAAAACTCCGCCTGCGGGAAAAGGAAAGCTGGCCGCTAAGGCCAGAAAAGTCCAACAACTTGCGCAGGCTTCACAGCTAGCCGGTGCCAAAGCTGGGATCTGAGCCTGGAGCCACGGGTCCACGCAGGTGCAGGGGGTGGCTGGCTGCGGTGACTGGGCGAGACTTCACAGCGGGAAGAAAACGGGTGAGCAAGACATCAGGATCTCCTGTAGGGTAGGCAGAGAACAGAAACGCGGGGACACCGTACTAGGCTTCCCGGCCTCCGGGCAGGGAGCGGCACCGAGCGACTTCTCTCCTTTGGTCCTTTGATCCTGTCACAGCGAGTCCTGCTTTGCGGGGTTTCCTTGGAAAACCAAGCCCCCACGTTGTTTTCATCCGTGTAAGGAGGCGAGGGCTAGCAAGTCGTCCAGCAGGTGTGAGGTCTGGTCAGTGAGGGGCTCGGGGAAGCCCTGACATCCACCGCGCTGGGCGGCTCCCGGTTCCCGAAGCCGCGGGCCCGGCTGCGCCGCTGGGCGCCTCCTCCCGCGCGGGCTGGAGCCGAGGCCGACACAGGCGGGGCCGCCCCGCCCCGGCCCGGGAGCCGCCGACCCCGCGCGCCGCGCTTGCCGGGGCACCCCCAGTCCCCCCGCCCCCGCCTGCTCCTCGCGCGGGGCTGACTCCGGGGAAGAGCCTCGGAGCCGGGCGGAGTTTCGCTCCCGGCGTGGAGCGGGCGGGGGGCGGCGCGCCACAGAGGGCCGGGCGGGCGCGCGCCGGGAAGGAGCCTCGGCAGCCCCGCGGGGTCGCCTCCCGCACGGGGCCGGGCCGGAGACAGAGCGGGAGCGGGAGCGGGAGCGGAGCGGGGAGCGGGGCGGAGAGAGAGCGGGAGCGGGAGCGGGAGCGGGGAGAGAGCGGGAGCGGGAGCCCGGCGGAGAGAGAGCGGGAGCGGGAGCGGGAGCGGGGAGAGAGCGGGAGCCCGGCGGGAGCGGGAGCGGGAGCGGGAGCCCGGCGGAGAGAGAGCGGGAGCGGGAGCGGGAGCGGGGCGGAGAGAGAGCGGGAGCGGGAGCCCGGCGGAGAGAGAGCGGGAGCGGGAGCGGGGAGAGAGCGGGAGCCCGGCGGGAGCGGGAGCGGAGCGGGAGCGGGAGCCCGGCGGAGAGAGAGCGGGAGCGGGAGCGGAGCGGGAAAGGGGAGAGCAGGAGCGGGAGCCCAAGTCTCGGCGCTGCCCCGCGGGTGGAGGCGCCCGCTCGCCGGCGGCCGGCGGCGCAGAGGCGGGAAGTGCGGCGCCCCCTCCCCTCCCCTCCCCTTGCCCCTGCCCCTGCCCCTGCCCCTGCCCCTCCCCTCCTCCTCCCCCTGCCCCTCCGCCCTCCCCTCCCCCTGCCCCTCCCCTCCCCTCCCCTCCCCTCCCCTCCCCTCCCCTCCCGGCGGGATGGGCCGGCGCGGGGCGCTGCTCTGCCTCCTCCCGCTGCTGCGCGCCGCCGAGCGCCCCGAGGGCCGGGCCGACGAGCCGGGCCTGGAGGCGGCCGTGGCGGGGCCCAACGCCTCGCACTTCTTCTGGAGCAACTACAGCTTCTCCGACTGGCAGAACTTCGTGGGCCGGAGGCGCTACGGCGCCGAGTCCCAGAACCCCACGGTGAAAGCGCTGCTCGTCGTGGCTTACTCCTTCATCATCGTCTTCTCGCTCTTCGGCAACGTCCTGGTCTGTCACGTCATCTTCAAGAACCAGCGGATGCGCTCGGCCACCAGCCTCTTCATCGTCAACCTGGCGGTGGCCGACATCCTCATCACCCTGCTCAACACGCCCTTCACCTTGGTGAGGCCCCGGCCGCCCCGGCCGCCCCGGCCGCCCGCCCCGCGCTCTCTGCCCCGCGCCCCCGCCCAGCTCCCCGCTCCGCCCCGCCGCCCCCGCCGCCCCCGCCGCCCGGACGCGTCTGCCCGCCGAGCCCCTCCCTGTGCCTTCAGCCCTGGCCTCTCTGTGACTGTCCTAACGTCTGTGCTTCTGTCTCCTTCCCGGCCCTCCCCCGGCCCTCCCTTCTGCCCTTCTCTGTGGTTTGGCGGTTCTGTGCTCTCTTCCTCCTCCTTCTCTGTCTCTGCCTCGTCACCTTCTGAGCCTGAGCTGCTGCAGCTGGAGGGCAATGCGGTCAATGCCCGGGGTCACCCAGGGCCAATGACCACTTCCTGTCACTGGGCACTGGGCACCGGCCTCTCTGATGATCAGACGGTAAATCGAAGCTCCTGGAAATGTTGGCAGAGATGGCCCTGAAGTCCAGCTCCCTAAATGCACACCCCCTCCTCCACCGCCACCCCAGGATGTGGCTTTGGGCCACAGCTGCTATATCAAACAATTGCTAATTGTGCATGGAAACTTAAGTGCATTCTCTTAGGACACTTATTTAAACTACGTTTCTCTTTTCTGGTTTGAGAGTGAGCCTGTGTAGGATGTGTGTGCTGGGGAAAAGATGAGGATGAGGTACGCTTGGGTGCCCAGACCAGGCTGGCGGCCCTTGCACAGGGGTGGCACATGAGCCTCCCCCAAGCCCCGGCTGCTCAGCGTCAGTGGTGTCATTTCCGTCCCTCTGTGACTTGGGAGTGTGGTGCTCCTGGGTGGGTGGGGACTGTGAGGGCTAGGACTGAGCAGTCTAATGATAGTCATCCCTTATGTTTCTGTAGCCTGAGTGATGTCTTTTCACTTTATGTAATAACCTTATTGTTATCTGACTTATTACCGAAGCAGTAGCTGTTCGAACTCCATCTCTCTCTCTCACACACACACTCAACCTGACATAATAGACAAGCCAAAAGAAGAGAGTGAACTCCCCACCTCTGCGAACATTTTAAAACTACATTCCGTCTTTTGTCCTCACTTACGAGAACATCGCCTTTTGCAGATGAGGAAACTAAGGCACAGATACAGGTTCAATCCCTTGTCCAAGGTCACTTAGCCTGTAATTGGCAGAGCCAGGATAAGACTTACTTTCCTGACTCAGGTCTGGGGGTCTGCCCACTAAGCCACCTGATCCGGAGGTGGCAGGTGAGGAGGGCTTCTTGGCCCATGTTAATGATGCTTCTACTACTCCAAACCATGAACTTGTCCTGCTCTCCTGCCAGCTTATATCTAACTGATTCCTGGCTACCCAGAAACCTCTGCTCACTAGCCAGGGTTACCTTGAAGCACGAGACAGTGTATCTCTGGCTCCGCTTGGCTCCCACCTCTGCTCTGGGTTTCTAACCTGACAATCTGCAGTGCTGGGGTTGGGCCACCCAGGATAAGAACTGGCCCGAGGGTATGGCCCTTGTGCTGCCGCCCAGAGCAGGATGCAAAATTAAATCTTCCACAGACGCAGATGTAGGGGTTGAGGGAGAGAAGCCACCCCAGGCTAGGCTGTACCTGAGACCTGGCAGGTCCTGCCTTGCATGATCTCCTGCAGGAGAGGAAGTGGCAGCGTCCTGAGAACCCAGAACTCCTCCGAGATGGTCCAGAGCAGCTTGACCTTGAACCTGACCCATGTAATTGCCCCAATCTAAACTCTTGTTAGAGCTTACAAGGTGCTGGAAAGCAGGGGGGATGAAAGAGTTGGTGAGAGGATGGAAGAGTTGGGGGTGGGGGAGAATCTTCTAAGCCCTTAGCCAACCTTTCAGACTAGGTAAGGCATCCAGCTGGCCGGTGATGATATTCTTCCTCCCTTGTCTCCTTTCCTGTCCACTTTGCACATGACAGTGAGCAGAAGTTCAGCTCTGGTCATTGAGAGAAGAGCAAACAGTTACTTCCAACTCCCACAGCAGTGACATGCACAGGATTTGGTGGAGCCTGGAGGAGACACTCAAGTATTCTGTCCTGCCCAGAGTCCCATGAGAGGGTCAAAGGAGACTACAAAAAACAAAACAAAACAAAATAAAACAAAACAAAAAAACGGGGCACTTCAAAGGGACCTGGAAGGGCAGGGGTCTCCCAGGTGGAGGTGAACGCTCCGCTCCGTGCAGACAGAGGGACTGTGGTAGAGCAAAGGCAAAGGGACCAAAGCTCATGGTGTGTTGGAATGTTGAGTGACTTGATGCAGCTGAAGCAGAGGCAGGAGGCACAATGCGGGGTCTGTGGAGGGCCAGAGGCAAGCGGAAGTGGGTCAGAAAGGGAGGCTGGGACCAGCCTATGAATGGGCCTGGATATTGGGAAGGCATCTGGCTCTGTCCTGAGGGCCACGATGATGCTAAGTGGCGGAAGGTGACAGTAATCTGATTTTTAGTTAAGAAAAATCCCATCAGCAGTGTGAAGGCTGAATTACAAGTGGACCAGATCGGAGGACAGGGGAAGCTGCTGAGAGGCTGTAAACCATCATCCGGGTGAGAAACAACGGGGCACTCCGTGAGGGCCATGGCCTCGGGCCCGGAGAAGAGGAAGTGGATCTGAAAGCCATCTCAAGGCAGCGCTGGTTGGCTTTGTCATGTATTGAATGTGGGAGGTGAGAAGTAGGAGTAGCTGAAGAGTTCTAGCTCAGTAATATCACTGGACTGCTCAGAAGCCTCCTATGGCTGCTCCCTGCCAACCCCACAGAGATGGAGCGAAGAGCCCTGCCCTGGTGACAACCGGAAGAGGCACATACTCCGCTGTGAACCACCACATGGTGTTCTTTCCATCCGGCTGACTCTGTTTTTTTCTCTATCGGTTTTTCCTTTCTACCCCAGCCCCTTCCCACCCTCCTTGGGGCCCTGACACCCTCCGTCTGGGCTCTCTGTAGGGCACTGAATCTTTCCCTCTCGCATCCTAAGATACCCGAGTCACCCCCCAGACTCGTTCAGAATCAGTGCTAGATCCTTCTTGGGCACGGGGCATCACTTACTCAACGTTAGAGAGCACAGCCCACACGCTGTGTTGTGATTTTTCAGATGTGTCTCCCCTATTAGCTGGAACACCTGTTGGCTAAGAATGGATGTTATTATTACCATAAAAATACCTAATAATATCTTTCTACCAATCTACCAGACATGGTATTCTACCCTTTATAGACTTTTTGGAACCTTAAACCTGACAATAACCCTACAAGGTAGAGATCTTTAAGCCTTGTTTTGCAAATAAGGAAACTGAGGTTCTGAGAGATTATATACCTTGCGCAAGGTCACACAGCTAGAGACTATCAGAGGAGGCAAGTCCAAGTCCAAAGCCCATGTATTCTCACGCTCTCCTGGCACCTAACTGGGTGTGGCTCCAGCAAGACAACCAGGTTCTGTAAAATCACGTGATTGAAAACGAGGTATGCTGGAGAAAATCATGTGTGACCCACAGTTTAGTAGTGTAGAATGGAAGAAGGGAGGAGCCAGAAGAAGCCTCCTGAGGGATGGTCCTCAGAGGCCACAGGGGCTGGGGGCCAAGGTCAAGGCCTGTTTGTCTTCTGACCTCTGTGAGCTGGTTTCCAGGTCCGCTTTGTGAACAGCACGTGGGTATTTGGGAAAGGCATGTGCCACGTCAGCCGCTTTGCCCAGTACTGCTCCCTGCACGTCTCAGCACTGACGTTGACGGCCATTGCTGTTGACCGCCACCAGGTGAGGGCACCGACCCATAGCACCCTGTCCTTCCCCCTCGGGCTTTGCTTCCCACGGAACTGCAGGGTCCCTCAAGACAGTGTTTAGCACATTTTGTAATAATAAGTGTATTTATTTGTCTTATTGACGGGTATGAGCACTTAGATGAGACATTTTAAAACATGCATGCTAAGTGCTACAAAAAGTCATTCCCAGTTTGTTTTTCCAACAAAGGCTCATTTTTTTTAATTTTTATATTTCTTAATTTATGATAGTCACAGAGAGAGAGAGGCAGAGACACAGGCAGAGGGAGAAGCAGGCTCCATGCATCGGGAGCCCGACGTGGGATTTGATCCCAGGTCGCCAGGATCGTGCCCTGGGCCAAAGGCAGGCGCCAAACCGCTGCGCCACCCAGGGATCCCCCAACAAAGGCTCATTGATAACATTTGATGTCTCAGAAGTTAATGAGCTTGTTTTGGGGGTAGAAAAGCGAACCTGAAAATCACAGATTGAAAGAGATTGGCAAATCATGGCAGGTCAGAGACGAAGGGGATGGATATCACCTGACCCAAGTTGTTGAGGAGGAAAACAAACTAGGGTGTCCAGGTGGCAGGAGCAGGCCTCAGGGTAGGGCAGGAAGGCCCTGCTCACTGTCTTGCCCCATCAGATGTACACGGGTGGATATGGTAAAGAAAACCCGAGAGGACCTGGGGGTGCTTGCCTTAGAGGTGGATGGCTGCATGGCAAGCACCTCTCACATGCTGCCTCAGTAAATCCATGTTGTATCCTTACATCTGTACTGAATCAAGGCATCAAAGCTCAGAAAAATGCATGGGTAGCTTTCCCAAGATCACATGCCTGGTGAAAGATGAAGCTAGGATTAGCACTGAGATCTGTCTGGCTTCAAGCCTCTACTCGGATCACTAAGGCCACTTCCCCTGCTCTGAGAAGGTTCAAAGGCGCCATGAGGCCACTGTCATAAGGGCTACCAGGACAAAGGGAAGGTAGAATTTATTCAGAGTAGCTCCCAAAGGTGCAAAGACCAAGGGAGAGGAGGCTTCAAAGACACAGCTCAGTATGAGAAAGAATTTTCTAACAGAACAACACTGCCTGGGAAGGTAATGAGTTTCATTTCACTGGCTGTTTTTAAGCAAGGGCTGGATGACACTTGATAGGAATGTTTTAGAGGACATTCATCATCTGGTAGGGAATTGGACTTGGCAAATTGTGAGATTCCTTTAGTCCTGAAATTCCATCATTTTGACATTTATATTACTGATGCTTTGGGCAAAGTCTGAAAAGGCTGCATACAAATATTTTCTGACTTTTCTTAGCCTTCCTCCCTAATCCAATGAGAGGGACTCTGGGCCGCCGTTACCTGGCCTCTGGTTACCCCTATTTAACCCAAAGGTGGTTGGCCTGAGGCACAAGGGGCTAGTCTTGCCCACACTGATCATGTTGCTGTGACATAAACTCGAAAAACAGGGCTCTGTCCCAAAGCCAGTGAAATATTTGAGTGAAGTCCAGGCCCCTGACCCAGGCTTTCACTTCCTTCAGCAACCCAAACACCGAGGGGGCGTGAGGGACAGAGATGGCAAAATCCAGAAAGGGAATGTATTGAGCAGCTTATAAAGCCTAGTCACTTCCTTCCATAAAACCTTGAAAAAAACTGGAGAAAAATTGGGGTGGGGGACACAGCCAGGGTGTCCACTGTGTCCTGGGGTGACATCTTTAGGTGGGGTGGCAGCTCTTTATGACCTCTCCCCCTGACCCTGGCTTCACCTGTCTCGGGATGCCTTTTTCAAGAAATAGTCCTCCTCATCTTAAAGATGCCATGAAATTCCCACGCCTTTATTTAAACCTTTTGGGAGAACGGATTGTCATAGTGTAGCAATCGCAGGATGCTTTGCAGCCCAAAGCCTACAACGCAGGCTTTGCTATAGGCCTGGGAAAACCGGACCCTGCTGCAATTTTAAAAATAAATACAATAACTTAAATAAATAAATATAAATATCTAAATAACATTTACCCAAATAAATGTCGGTACAATGTCCTAAGATAGATGGGGAGAGTCTCCTCTTCATATTTGTCATGTCAGACCCTCTCAGAGCCCTCCATAACCCAAGGGGTCCAGAATCATGGGGGTACCATGGCTTGTTCCTCTGCTGGCCTCCTGTGTGCCATGCAAGCAGACCTCCTACTTTGCCCCTTCCCCATCCCCCCACTGCCCCCTGGTTCTGCCACATGGTGTGCAACAGGCGTCTGTGCTTCCCAGAGTCTCGGAGTCCATTCGATAGCCTCTTTTTACCTCTGCAGGTGGGCTTTGGGGGTGGCGCAGCCCAAGGGCTTCATACTGAATTAAGGGGTGCCTCTTTATAAATAGGACCTACCTGCCCTATTGTGACATGTGAACTGTGTTGTTGGGATTCTGGAGGCTTCAGAACTTCTTCAGCCAGTGATGTACAGTTTATTATCCAGGTCATCATGCACCCATTAAAACCCCGGATCTCGATCACAAAAGGTGTCATCTACATCACGGTCATCTGGACCATGGCTACGTTCTTTTCACTTCCCCACGCCATCTGCCAGAAATTGTTTACCTTCAAGTACAGGTGAGTGAACTCATATGGCGCAGCCTGGGGACTCAGAGGTCCTTGCCTGAGGGAAATCTGAGTCCTCTCTGCAAATGACTTACAAGTACCTGCTACACCCAACTCTTCTGTCTCTTTCCCGTCCTGTCCTCTTGCTTCCTCTTGCTTCCAAGGCCGGGCCTATGGGCGGCATTCCTTCTGCTTTTTCTTCCCTTTATTGCTCAACAACTTTAGCTCCCTCCTTGTTGTCCACCCAGTTTGTCTGCAAGGTCAAGGCAGTAGTGAACAACTTCCTTCACTGGGGACACGTACTCACACAGTCACACAGATGTGAGATTCAGAATCCCCTGGGACATTTGCATTCTCTCGCCTGGCTTACAAACAGACCATGCCTGAGTCAGTGTGTTTGAGGCGGGATGCTCCACTTCCCCCTAGCTCCTATTCAGGCTTCTTTGTTGTGTGCTCTCGCAGATGAGAATTTCTTTCAAAGGACTTAGTTGTTTGTTTGTTTTAATTTAAACACTTGTGTGTGCTACTTGTTCACTGAAGGCGATCTCCCCAGCTGGACTGGTAAGGTTGGGGGAAGCTGGGACCGTGTCTGATTTGGCTACCCTGCTATTCCTAGTACCTAACCTACAGTCTCCACATAACAAGCCCTCGAAGTGTAATTACTTCCTTGCTGAGTAAATGAATGGACGGATGAATGAATGAGCTTAGAGTGATTTTCATTAGTTCATAGTTGTTTTAGATGAGGTTCTTTAGAAATGGACCCTGAGACACAGATCATGCTTGTGATTTTTTTTTTTTTTTGAAGATTTTATTTATTCATGAGAGACAGAGAGGCAGAGACATAGGCAGAAGGAGAAGCAGGCTCCATGTGGAGACTCAATCCTGGGACCCTGGGATCACCTCTTGAGCTGAAGGCAGATTTTCAACCACTCAGCCACCCAGGCGTCCCCATGCTAGTGATTTTAAGGAAGTGCTCCCAGGAGTAATGGGAAAGGGAGTGGGGACACAGGGTAGTGAATGGAGGGAGAACAGGGGAAGGTGCAATTCTCGGGTTGGAGGGATGTCAGGAGTAGCTACAGCCAGCTGCACAGAGGACTCTAGAACAAGGGGAACACAGATTAGTTCAGCCTCGAGGCAAGGGAGGTGGGTTTTCATATTCCAGGCTTCCCCTGGGGAAAACAGAGACTCCCAGCCACCTTCTGGCTCTTATTCTGGCTCTTGTGGATCTGGAAGAGATGATTTCAGTGGCCCCTCGAGGAGTGCTTAGCATCTACAAGATCACAGGAGCCACTTCCAGGATCTGGTGGCCTGGCACTCCAGACCAGTGAAGGGGATCTGAGGGGACCTAGGAGGTACAGTGCTGGTGTGTGCTATGCTAGCTTCTCTGCTGCTCCTCCTGAAATGTATACTTGAAAACACACATGTCTGTGACATACACAAGATCAAGGGAATAAGCTTGGAAGACTGATTGCAACTACAGTTGATCCTTGGCCAACCCTAGTTTAAGCTGTGTGGATCCACTTCTATGTGGATTTTTTTTTCAATTAGTATAGTCCTGTACTGTTAATGTATTTTCTCTGTTGATTTTAATAACATTTTCTTTTCCTTAGCTTACTTTATTGTGAGAATACAATATGTAATACATACACAAAATATATGTCAATCAACTGTTTACATTCTCGAGATAGCTTCCCGTCCATAGTAAGCAATTAGTAGTTAAATTGTAGGAGAGTCAAAGTCATACAGGGGTTTTCAACTGTGTGGGGGTGGGTACCCCTAACCTCTATGTTGCTCAAGGGTCAACTGTAATTTATAAAGGCTCCCTCCCCAAGTTCTATGATATTGAAATGAATCATATGCCCAAATCCGCTAGCAATCAGACTTCCATCTGCCTTCAGATGGGGATGGGGAGCTTTCTTTTTTTCTTCCCTGCTAACGAGAGCAAGGAGAATTCTCTCCCTTTCAGTAGCAATGACAACCAGCACATATAACCAGAGCAACAAGCCACATGGCGTGAGGAGAAACCAGCCATTTTGAGTTGTGGCTTAGACATTTTAGGGTTTGACTACCTTGTTCACACCCACAGTCTGGACATTTAGATTAGGACATGAGGTTAGGATTCCCACCATAAGTTCTAGCCTTGCTTTTCCTGGGTCACCTTTTAAAATGACCCCTCAGAGTTGAGGCTATGAAAAGAGAGTGACCACCGCCACAACCACTTCTCCATAGTTGGTGCTTGCAGCCCTGTGCTCTATTTCCTGCTTCCTTGGGGCCTGGGACAGAGGACTGCCCTTCCCCCAGATCCTTGTGCCTCCATTCTGGGATTTGTAAGTAATAAGTCTCATGACCTGACCTCTTTGTAGGAGTGTATTGAAACTGTGCCTTCCATCAAAATGGCCCTGGGGTTTTCACTGCCCCAGAGTGGGAGCTTGGATACCAAAGGAGGTACTTGCCAATCCTGTGTGGTCATAATCTGTGTAGTCTTAACACACTAGCCCTGGGGGTTCCTCAAAGAGGACTAGGTCCTCAAAGAGCCCTAAGTGCATTCCGTAGAAAATAAACACTTGTTATATGAATGTCTGAAGGTAGGTTAGTCCAGGCTTTGCCACTCATGTTCTCAAGGCCCATCATTTATTAGTTCCTCTCTGGAATGAGAATAGGTAGGAAAATGAGGAATTCCAGGGTTTTCTGAGTACATTGTACTCTCAGGATGAGTTAGTTCTAAGATGAGGAATACCAGTGTTCCATTCATTCACTGAGTAAGTATTTACTAGGTTTCTGTTATAGGCCAGGAATAATATAAGGTTAAGAAGACACAGAGAAATCAGGTATTTTCCTTATCTTTATAGAACTCCCAGCCTAGTGGTAGAGCCAGGGATGTATCACATAATTACACTACAACAAAAGTGCTATAAAGGATTTACCAGGAGCCCAGTGTGGAGAAAGGCCAGGGCTTCTTGGGATAAGACCTTTCCACAGTAATGGCACACTTTCCTCTTTCTTTCTCTCTCTCTCTCTTTCTCTCTCTCTGTTTCTCTGTCTCTCTCCCTCTCCCCTTGCCACCAGTGAGGACATTGTCCGCTCACTGTGCCTGCCAGACTTCCCTGAGCCAGCTGACCTCTTCTGGAAGTACCTGGACTTGGCCACCTTTATCCTGCTTTACATCTTACCCCTCCTCATCATCTCTGTGGCCTATGCCCGAGTGGCCAAGAAGCTGTGGTTGTGCAACACGATTGGCGACGTGACCACTGAGCAGTACCTGGCTCTACGGCGTAAGAAGAAGAAGACCATCAAGATGCTGATGCTGGTGGTGGTCCTCTTTGCCCTCTGCTGGTTTCCCCTCAACTGCTATGTCCTCCTCCTATCCAGCAAGGTCATCCACACCAACAATGCCCTCTACTTTGCCTTCCACTGGTTTGCCATGAGCAGCACTTGCTACAACCCTTTCATCTACTGCTGGCTCAACGAGAATTTCAGAATTGAGCTGAAGGCATTACTGAGCATGTGCCAAAGACTGCCAAAGCCCCAGGAAGAAAGGCCCCCCTCTCCAGTGCCTTCCTTCAGGGTGGCTTGGACAGAGAAGAGCAATGGGCGGAGGGTTCCCCCAGCCAACAACCTCCTGCTTTCCTCCCATCTCCAGTCTGGGAAGACAGACCTGTCTTCTGTGGAGCCCATTGTAGCCATGAGTTAGCTGGGAGTGGGGGTGGGAAGAGGCAGGAGGAGAGCTCTGTCTCTAGGACCTGAGGACAGAGCCTGCAAGAAAGCCTGTTCTCTGATACATGACCTTTACAGTGCTGAAAACAAGGTCCTACAGAAGCCACAGGACCCTTGATTTCCTAGGAAACGCTATCTAGCTTTCTACCCCATTTGATGTGCAAACTACAAGACAGCTACCAATTAGACACGTGTTTATGAATTCCTGTCTAAGAAATGCTATGAGGCATATCACCCTGGCTCCCTGAGCCAGAGAACCCAGGACAGCTTCAGCCCACATGAGGGCTGAGTCAGCCAGCTGCCTAACAACCCTTCCTGCCACCAAGCATTCGTAAAGGACACCTGAGTCATACTCAGTCAGGTGTGGCTGACCCAGATACACAGAACTCTACTTGAACAAGGTTCATTGGCCAGTGAAAGGTAAGTGAGCCAGAGCTAACACAGAGCTTTTTTAGCCTTGCTTTCTGAAGTCCTGGGCCAGAATGAATCACGATAGTGTGGTGGCTGGCTGGATAGATGACAAGAAAGGACCAGTTCGGTCCCTTAAAACAAAGAGGGATCACTGAGTTCTCTTAAAGAAAAATTGAAACTTTGGAAAATTTAGAAAAGCACAAAGAGGAAAACAAAAATCACCCCCTTCTGCCATCAACTGTGATGTTTTGTTAGTATGCTGTGGATTTATTTGCAACTTTTCCCTTTGCTTGTATACATGCACACATGCGTGCCTGTGTGCATACACTCTTCCTTCCATTCTGAATTATACTTTCTCATGTAGAGAGAATCAAGAACAAGGCATAGCAGAGAATTTCTGAGCCCCTCTCCCAGGACAGGAGTAGTGTCCATCAGAAGAGTTGGAAGAAGAGGTGGGAGAGGAACTCAAGGAGAAGGCTGTCATGGAGCCAACAGGCTGCCTTCATTTATAGTCAGTGGTAGGAAAGGCCTGGATGAAGCACCTCTTCTCAGATAGCAGCCATCATGATGAGCCAGTAAATAAAACTCATCTAACAGGCAAAATTCCTTCTCTCCTGCATTCACATGGAACAAGACGTGGTAAAACATTGCCCTGCTTTTACAGGAGACAATGGAACAGGCTCTCCAACATGCCAGAAATAATTGCACTCAGACACTTCACATCCTCCCAAGCTGTCTAGACAGGCCACTCCTCTGTGTTGTCTGAATAATAAAGCTTCTTCATGCCAGTTCCCCGAAGACCACTCACTTGTCAACATCACCCTGGCGGCTCATGTGTCACTTACAGAAACCTATGACATTGTGATAGTCCTTAAGGACTCAACATGTCAGAGAAATCTCATCCCAGAGACTGAGTGTTTTCATCACCTTCCATCTGGTCTTGAGTGACTCACTGCTTCACCCAGAAGACACAGGCAGAATAGAACTTAATTCACCCACCCTAAATAGTTGCCACTCTCACACTGGGTTTAGGTTACTTTCTAGCACCAGATAGATCTTGAAAGCAAACATGAATATGGAGCTGAGAGGGGAACTGACATTTGGGGAGAAGGGGATTACCCAGAGTTCACTTAGATCTCTTGATGTTTCATTGAAACTGAACTTGGTCATATTATCTGCTCTCCTATAATGAACCATGAGAGTTCATTATACTGTTCTCTCCACTTATGAGAATGTTTGGAATGTTTGACTTTCATGGGACAGAGAGCCTTCCAAGCCCCGATGGCCAAATAACTTCCATGCCTGGACCTCTTGTCTCTGTGGTGTCAAGAAGTAGCTAATGGTTTCATCTTAATGCTGCCATGGAAATTCTTCAAACCAGAAAGAACAGGCAGCAGGACTACAAATAGTTTGTACTGCTCTGGAATCATGGGGAAAGCCTCACTTTCATCCTTGCTGAAGGCCTCTAGAAATACTGCCAAGTTGACGAATGCTCTTCTCCGGGGGAGAAGACCTGCAGATGGCCCATTAGGTCTGGGTCTCCTGTCAGTACCTTGTCTTCCCCATTCACCTTGGTCCCTGTGTGCCTCATAGGAAAATGTGATTTGTATTTGTAAATGTGAAATTTGTAAAACTTGAGTCTTTCCAATGTGTCATAATGAGTATTTCATTATAAATGCACTAGTCTCAATAAAATATATTTTGGGTGCATGGACTATGCTTCTTGGGCTTCTGATTAAACCACAGTTAGTAACCTTTAACATGGGGATCTATGTGGATTACAAAGAGAGCATGAAGATCATCTGCCTACACCCCTGCATTTTACAACTGAGGAAGTGCAAACATGCTCTGGCTAGGGTAAATAGCCAGCTGGAAATCTCTGATCTTGGTCTAGAGCTTTTTCCACTGAGCTGGCTGCCACGTCCTTTCTCTTGTGATTATGAATCTGTGCTGAGGACCCAAGACTTCACACGTGAGTCTTTGGTGATGTGGAATGAGGCAAAGCTGCCACTGGAGCCTCAGGATTGGTTCTCCTACTCACAGTGTGTAATGGGTGCCACATTCCTGTGTTGACCAGGATTTCTGCCCCACTGGGGCTGGGGACCCCTTGTCCTACCTGCTTACCTGGTAGGAGACTTCTTGGTATACATAATTACTCTGATGCCATCCAGAGCTCAGGAAATCAGTTTCACATAATTTCATAGAAGGCTGTATACAGGGGTAATTTACTGAGCCTAGGGGAAGATTTGAAAGAAAAATGAAAGGCATAGGAAAAGGAGAAAGGAAGTAGGATTTGCTGACACCCAATATGAGAGATACTATGCTAAATGCTTCTCAGCTCATGATCTTATTCACCTTCATAGCAATCCTCCTAGGAGGGCATTATCATTTTCACATTGCAGTTGAGGAGTCAGGCTCAGCTATATCATACAGGAAAATTGGGCCAATGTTACCTTCTTGGAAATTAGATATTGAGAAGGCTTGTAGAAAAGAATCTTCATTTGTTTTTGATTTAATTAAATTTAATTTTAATTTAAATATGTTCTACATATTTCCTTGATGGTGAGACACTTTGAGGTAAAACCTGTTAACCATCCTAAAAACAAGTGCTTGAAATACGTGTTTTAGGAAATGCTTAACTAGGTGGATCCCAGGGCCCTCACAGCTCCACGGCCAATGAGTCCATGTTTCTGGTATAGTCAGGATCTCAGGCTGCCTTGAGAACTCAAATTCTAGTTAGAAACATCTTCCAAACAGACTATAAGTGACTTCCAGATTGCTGGTGCCCTGCTTGACTGACCATGGTAGGTAGTCAAGGCAGACAGTTGTCTTTTAGCCAGCTGGGGCCTCAAGGTCCTCAGGGTCCTCAGAAATGGGCAGAACTCAGCTAAACCCTCACTGCTCCAAACTAAAGGTGTGACATGCCCCCAGGGCCTCTGTGCTGCTGTCCAAGGTACAGGTTCTAGGATACCAGGAGGCTGCCAGAATACCTGGGGCGGGGGAGCAAATCTTGAAGATGGCAGGGGTACATCAACTGGGGAAACAAGCTTGTCTTAAAGTGTTGCCTGTAGGTGGTAGAAGATGCTCATAATGCTGAGATCAGGTCATTAGCATCTTGCTTTGGCATTTCTGTGTACCTGTCCCCACCATTCTCCCTCATTTCAAGGAGTAGTTAAAGAGGGAACAAATAAGATACAGGCAATGCTGGATGACATTTAAATAATATTCTAATGGTATTTAATGTGAGAAAGCCCTGGAGTTCACTCTCCTTTCTGAGACTTTGTAGTATCTCTTGCTGAGAATAAGCCATTTGCTGCTTTATGGAGACAGAGTGGTTGATGTTAATTGCTCCTTCTTTCCTCTGCTTCTAGTTTAGCAGGAACTTTATCCTCAGACCAGTCATGAATTTAGGGTGCTTAGATTAAATGCAAGGAAGGCAAAGAAATCATGAACACAAGATTTAGTATATTGGTTACTTCAGATGGAGGAGAAGGGATATGGGTTGGCATGTAGGATGATGAGGCTATAAATAATTGTCAAGGTTCTACCTTTTGTTTTGGGCAACGTTAAGAGTGAGCCATAAACCAAGGATTATGATTAATTCAATTCTGTGCCTCTGCAGTACATAAATAAACAAACAGTAAACCAATAAAAATAGGGACCTAGTGGTCCAAGCCTTTATTTTCCTTCCCTGTATCCTTCCAATAAAGTTACTTCTATGAATGTATTAAAACACCAAATAGAGTTCACTTCAAAGACAAGTAGGATATGACAATTACATTTCCTTTTTACAAATAACCTTGCTTTTCTGGAGTTAAAACTTCTTTGTTTCTGGCTCAGTTTTCTATGTCACCATCACTAATTCCTTCCCAATTTTTCAGCAGAGTTAAAAATTTCTTTGTCACCTGACCACAAATATCAAGTATTTGCCAATTCCCATCCCCCACAGCAGCTGGGCTGTCAAATGTTCCTCCCTGGGATCGCAGATCTTTCTGTCTGCAGAATACATGCTTTACCAGGATCTCCCTTCTCCTCTACCCAGTGGCTAGGTCTTGCTGTTTTCTAGATCCCTGTCTTCCTCACTTTTTATTTACTCCTTTATTTTGGAAGACCACATTCTCTAGCAGTTGCCCAAGGAAAGGTACATAGAAACTAACTGAATTTTGAAGATATTTCTACTAGTTTTCTATTGCTGCCGTAACAAATTACCACAGTCTTAGTGGCTTAAACAACACACATTTATAATCTTATACTTCTGTAGGTAGGTCAGAATCTGACACAGGTCTCATGGGGCTAAAATTAAGGTGTCTGCAGGGTCACATCCTTTTCTGTAGACTCTGGGACAAGACAAGACAAGACATGTCTTTTCCAGCTTCTAGAGGACACCCACATTTCTTGGATCATTGACCCCTTCTTCCATGTTAAAAGCCAGCAACATGGTATTTCTCTGAACTTCAATAGTCACATTTCCCTCTCTCTCCTCCCATCCCCTCCAGTTTTCAAAGGTGATTACAAGGATGTAATTTGTGATCCTTTGTGATTACATTATATCCACCTGAATAATCCAGGATAATATTCCTATTTAAAAAAAATATTCCTATTTTATTTTTTAAATTTTTTTATTTATGATAGTCACAGAGAGAGAGAGAGAGAGAGAGAGAGAGAGAGAGGCAGAGACACAGGCAGAGGGAGAAGCAGGCTCCATGCACCGGGAGCCCAACGTGGGATTCGATCCCGGGTCTCCAGGATCGCGCCCTGGGCCAAAGGCAGGCGCCAAACCGCTGCGCCACCCAGGGATCCCAATATTCCTATTTTAAAATCATTGATTAGCTGGGATGCCGGGGTGGCTCAGTGGTTGTGCATCTGCCTTCGGCTTGGGGTGTGATCTTGTGGCCCCGGGATCAAGTTCTACATGGGGCTCCATGCAAGAAGCCTGCCTCTCCCTTTGCCTGTGTCTCTGCCTCTCTCCCTATGTCTCTCCTGAATAAATAAATAAAAAATCTTTTAAAAATAAAAATAAAATAAAAAATAAATAAAAAAATAAAAAATAAAAAATAAAAAATAAAAATAAAATAAATAAAATCAGTGATTAGCAACCATAATCCCATCTGCAACCTTTATTTTCCTTTGCTTAGCATTTTCATAGGTTCTGGGAATTAGGATGTGGGAGGCCATTATTCTGCCTACCAGCATTGCTCATCTACTTTCCAGCACTTCTGCTGGGACATTGGTTGTTTTTCTGATTCCTAGTCCTATATACATTACCTAAGAGGATCTATTTTAGGTAGAGGCCAAGCAAGTGAGTTTAATGACTGTAATAGGAATCCTTACCTCTGCACCTATGAAGTACTGAATATTGGCACCAACCTCTGTGGTTCCTTCAGAGATGTGACATTGCTTTTGGTTTATGTTTTCACTGGGAGGAGGAGCTTCAGGGGCTTCCATTTCATTCTACTGTAACTGACCTCATGTGTAGAATCTGTCAGTTGCTAAGTATTCTAGTTCTATACTTAAGGACTCAGGAATTAGCCACAGAATAAACTCGGGAACCCCACAGGAGTGGGACATAAGCCACAATTTCATTTTTCACTTGACCTCTGTAAGTCCTCACTCTCACCAATGGACCACAGAGGCTTTTTCCATCTCTAAGAATTGGTATGAACCAAAAGCCAGTCCAGTTATCCCAAATTGATCATTCCATTAGCCCCTTTAGAGAAGCTGTTTGGGAGACCTATAGTACTTACAGTGATACTGTCATAGTCATTTCTTTACTCAAGGGATCCATGATCTGTACACTAACTCAGGTATGGAAATTAAATGAGGGGTTCTGACTTTCAAATGTGGTGGCTAAAGTTAGGTCTCCATTTGCCCGACCTACAGCTGGTTGGTTTTTTTTTTTTTTTCATTTTGTTTTGTTATACAAATCAAGTATTACCTTAGTAGAATGTCCTTCTATTTATTCAAGGCCCCTGTGATAATTCAGTCACCATGAAGATCCAGTGGGCCAAATCATTGATTAATGAGCTGACCCTGCTGATTGTTATAGCACCCTTACCCTCTGTGCCACTAGAGGTGAGTACTATACATGGCTCTGCCACTCCAGATCCAATGCCATCAATTTCACTCACATTAGGAAGTCCATTTCAAAGACAGCATCTGCACACTTATTTTTTGATGCATGGAAAAGACCTACTCTAGCATTTTTACATATGCCTATGTTTCTCTCACTAGTATGTTTCTCTATGCCCTGAAAAGGTCTGGTCCCTCTCAGAGGACATTTTTAAGGGTCAACTCATGGGTCACATCTAATAAATCCACTGTACTAAAGCTATTTCTCAAAATCTTTGCATTACTTCTCCCAAATTATAAGGGAATTTATGACATCTCAGGCTCCTTTGGCATAGGCTAGTACTGAGCCCAGAGACAATAGAAACCTAGCAGATCATTAAATTAATTATAAAATTATTATTGCATATTAAATTAAAACCATTATCAAGACCCTAAATAGCTAAAATAATCTTGAAAAAAAAGAACAAAGTTGGAAGTTTCATACTTCCTGATTTTAAAACTTACTATAAAGCTATAGTAATCAAAATAGTATTAGACTGGCAAACAGACATATAGACAAATGGAACAGAACAGAAAGCCCAAAAATAAACCTTCACATATATGGTCAAATAATTTTCAACCAAGGTGCCAAGACCAATGGGGAAA